ACAGCACCTCAGACTGAGGAAGTCTCTCGGACGAGAGACGAAACGTTTCTACATTTTTTTGTTGTTTTGCTTTGTTTTTGTTTTTTTTGAATGTCCAGAGGACCAGATTTAACTTTTTTAGAGTTGTTAAATAAAACACTTTCCACAGGAACAGAAACTTCTTACATGCTCAGTGAGATGAAAACTGTTTGATCAACGTTTGACAGGAATAAAAACATTGTAATTTAAGTTTTAACACAAAAAGAAAACTTGTTTTCTGTCCGTCTCGTTTGTGTCTGCTGCAGGCAGCGCGCCGAGCTGGAGGACCTGCGGAGGCAGTTGGAGGAGAACAGCTCTCTGTCTGGACGAGCCCTCAGGGAGGAGATGGAGAAGAGCCGAGAGGAGCAGGAGAGGAGGCACCAGGTGAGGAAACATCACGACGGCTCAGTCATGCAGTCTGAGGCAGCATCGCAGCTCAGCGTGACTTCTGTTGGACTTTTAGATGGAGATGAAGGTTCTGCAGGAACGACTGGACATGGAGAAACAAACGTGGGGAGAAAACTACAAGAAGCAGGAGGTTTGTTCCTCCTGCATGGATTGAAGCAGCGTCTCCTTTTGTTCACTTTGATTTACAACCACTAACCTAAAATAAAAGCTTTTCTCTGGAGACGTTTGGATTCTCCTCAGGGTCAAGTCTGTGAGGAAAGTTCAGTTCCTGAATCTGACCAGAAGCAGAACTTTCTAATTAAGATGTTTCTGTTTGTCGGCTCTGTCTGGAAAATAAAGAGTTAAATTTTGGCATTTTCCAGGTCTGAAACGTTTATAAGAATCTAGAAAACTTGAGTGATTCTAGATTTTATTACAGAATAATAATTTAAAAAAGCATTATTTAGTTAGGTTTGATCAAAACTATTTTGGCTAAGTTTAAAAAAAACATTTTCTCAAAAATTAAAGAGCGGATCTCATTTCTCTGAATTAAAGCGAAGTTCTTCCGTCCGCAGGAAGCGTGGATGCTGAGGCGCGAGCGCGAGCTGAGGGAAGAGCTGCGGCGAGAACGGGACAAGGAGATCGAGCTCGCCATCTGGACGCTGGAGGAGGAGACGAGCAAGGACAAGGAGGAGTGTGAGAGGGCAGCCGACAACAGGTGTGTGCGCTCGGCACAAATCACGATCAACGTGCACGTGGTCAACACGTGCACGTGGTCAACACGACGCCGGCTGCTTTCAGGGTGAAGCGTCTGAGGGAAAAGTTTGAGTCTGAGCTGAAGGAGCTGGAGCGCTCGGAGAGAGCTGCCGTGGAGAAACAACAGGAGCTGAGGAGGCAGCAGGTGGAGATGGAGGGGGAGCTGATCCGCCTGCAGGCCGTGCTCCGACAGAAGGAGCAGGAGGTTGAAGACGTCACTCAGGTGAATGAGGGGAACATCTTGAAGTTTCACGTCAGTGTTTCCGCCCATTTCTGTTAAAATGAAACGTCCTCTCAGAGCAGAGACGAGCTGGCGGAGGAGCGCTGCAGCCTGGCGGCCGTGATAAGGCAGGAGTTCGCAGACCGCTTAGTAACGACGGAGGAGGAGAACCGCCGGCTGAAGGTGGAGGTGTCCGAAGTGCGAGCCAGACTGCGGTTGGAGGTGGAGCGAATCACCCGGGAGAAGGAGGAGGAGCTGGCTGAAGTCCACCACCGGTGAGCAGGGAGGAGCTAGTTCTGCACATCAGGAGGAACTTCTAAATGTCTCTAAATCTGAGTGGGGACAAACTCAGTTTGTGACGGTGGGCGTGGCGTGGACTTCACGCTGGAACAAACAGAGTGATGGAAACTAAACTTCCAGGAAGAAGGTTGGGTCAGACCGTGGAGACGACAGACGGAGGTCGTTCTTTTTAACCGTTTATGTCGGCAAACATTGAGCGCCAGCTCTGAAACAGCTGCCAAAACTCAGGAATCATTTTCACATCCTGAAACCGTGCAGAATCACCGCTGACTCACTTTAACACGTTCGTAGTTCTGCAGTCAGTGTTGTTTTGCATCAGTTTGAACCTCTGAGCTCAGGAAGCGAAGAACATTATAAGAAGTCATTTATTCCGAGTGCAATAACCGTTCTGAAAAATGTTTTATTTTATGCACAAATTGTATGAATGTGTTTTATTTTATGGTTGAAGAGCTGAAGGAAAATTTCCACCTTGGTGCACAATAAAGTTTTATCTTATCTTAATCACGGCACAAATAAACGACTGACACTCGTCACATATTCAGTACGAATCAGAGTCTGTTTCTCTTCTTATTCTGAGACTGAACATGTTCTGAGTGTCGGTCTCCTGTACGCTGCCTCGTGAGCCACAGACAACCGTGCTCGCTGAAGGAAACGTTCCGGTATTTACCGTCCTGTTTGTGATTTGCAGAGTGAAGTCGGCCATCTTAAAGAAAGAGGAAACCGTGAATAATCTCCGGAAGCAGCATGAGGTGAGTGTCACGGCCCCGGTCAGACCTGCTGTACATAAAGACACTTCAGATCTAAAGATCCAAACATTTAGGTTGAGTTCTGTAAAATAGACAGCTCTGCCACCACAAACTGTTTTTAAGGTCCCTGCAGAGCGATGAGTAGGTTTGAGTGCAGCAGGACACGTTTACATTTGTTCTGTTGGCAGAACGTGTCCGGCTGCGTCACGAGCGCAGGGTTTTAGTGCTCTCCACTTGTGATCTGGTAAAGTTATTGACGACCAAGAGTCCAGTGTAGAAACCAGTCCAGGAAGCAGAGCTGTAGTCCTCCACCTCTCTGCTGCTTCTCCTCTGTTACCCACCCACATTGAAACAGTGTCAACTCGCCCACGGCTCAAATTAAATAAACCAAAAATCAGCTCTAAAAATATTAACCATAAAAATCTGATTCAAATAAACACAGTTACTTTACCAGAACAAAATCATAAACTCATTAAATGTGGATTGTTGAACATCAGATCTCTTTCCTCTAAATCCCTGTTAGTTAATGAACTGATAACTGATCATCATATTGATTTATTGTGTCTGACAGAAACTTGGCTACAACAGGAGGATTTTGTTGGTATAAATGAATCCACTCCTGTTAATTATTTAAATGTTCATGTTCCTAGAACAACTGGCCGAGGTGGAGGAGTAGCTTCTATTTTTCAGTCAGGATTATTGATTAATGCCAAATCAGTTGGTAGTTCTAATACATTTGAGTGTCTAAGTCTGTCCCTTCCTCAATAGAAGACGGAACGACCACTCTCACTACTTATGTATCGTCCACCAGGCTCCTATGCCAGCGGTGTAGTCTACGTGATACGCAGGCGTATGTAGTACACCCTAGAGATGCACCGATCCGATACAAATATCTGTATCGGTACAGATATCAGGAAAAAACTTCTGGATCAGGTATCGTGACAACGTAACCGATCCATGACAGGGCAGATCTATTCACCCTAATTCTATACTTTGTGCTCTGAGTGACGTCACGTGCTCGTGTACTGACTGAACAAATTAAAGTTGTGTTGTTTTTACGTTTGACCAAGCTTGTGAAGTTCTTGGTGTGTTTAATGTTCTGGTGCAGAGTTTTCAATAAATTTGTCATTCAGTACATTCATGTCTGCGTTTAAAAACAAACGTTTTAAGTTAATTCAGCGCTGGGTTTGTGAGCTCAATAATCCAGGTAGACAACTAAAATGGCTAAATCATGTCTGGACCTGTTTCAGAAATGGGTCCAGACATGATTTAGCCATTTTAGTTAATTCAGCAGTTTTTCCTGTATCGGATCGGTATCGGATCGACATCGACACCAAACAGCAAGTATCGGTATCGATACTTGAACATGTTTTGCTTTGATACGGTTTTATAAATTCTATAACATGTTTTTAATAAAAAACAACTGTTGTACAGTTTGTTGTACATTTATTCAAATATAAGCATCAGAGAAATTTGGAAATGTTCAATATGCTTAAAAATCAAAATAAATTGACGATTACTAGAGGTGTAACGGTACGCTGCAATCACATTTTGGTTCGGTTCAATTTCAAGGAGTTACTAAAGATATTCTCATGGCCTCAGACAGTGGACAGGTGTCTCCTGGTCCTGTTAGACCTCAGTGCTGCATTTGATACACTTGATCACAATATTTTACTACAGAGGCTTGAATATGATGTTGGGATTACAGGAACAGCTCTAAATTGGTTTAAATCATATCTATCTGATAGATCCCAGTTTGTAAATGTAAATAATGAATCTTCATCATACACCAACGTTAGTTACTGGGAGAGATCATATCTCTCCAGTTTTAGCTTCTCTCCATTGGCTCCCTGTCAAATCCAGAACTGAATTCAAAATCTTACTTCTAACCTACAAAGCTCTCAACCACCTAGCTCCATCTTATATTACAGATCTTATTGTTCCATATTTTACTAACAGAGCACTTCGCTCTCAGGCTGCAGGTTTACTCGTGGTTCCTAGAGTTTCCAAAAGCAGAATGGAGGAAGATCTTTCAGTTGTCAGGCTCCTCTCTTGTGGAACCAACTTCCAGTTTCTGACACATTGTCCAGTTGAAGACTTTCCTTCTTGATAAATCCTATAGCTAGGGTTGGCTTGTTATGCTGCTATAGGCTTAGACTGCTAGAGGACAAACTGACCTCAGTTCTTAAAATGAATTGTTAAAATTGAATACCAAAGTTCATGCTCAATAATCCAGGTATATAATCCAACAATGTTCATGTTCAGTCAAGTCATCTGGACGATTTATTATTTTTTTTTTATGTTTAATCCGTCATCCAAAGGACTTCTTCGATCTGAGGAGCCACCAACAAACAAAACTCATTCCCACAAACAGCATACTCCATAGTGGAAATGGAGTATACCTGGATTATTGAGTGAACTTCTGTGTTTACAGTCACTTTGGCATGATTGTCTCAGAGGAGTTGCCCCCCGGGGGAGAGGGCGGGCCCCGGAGGACATCTTAGCACCAGCAAACTGTTTTTTTACATTATGGAGTATGCTGTCAGTGGGAATCAGTTTTGTTTGGTGGCTCTTAAGATTGAAGAAGTCCTTTGGATGAAGGATGAAACGTCTCAGCAAAAAGAAAGAAACCGTCCTGATGACCTGACTGAACATTGTTGGATTACAATTGAATAGTTTTTGTTGGATACTATTTAAATTCAATTCAAAAATACTTTATTAATCCCAGAGGGAAATTATTTGTTGTTGTAGCCCGTTATCCTCATTTCATTAAGAGACGTTAGAGATGCTGATGCTGTAGGCAGGAAGGATCTCTTGTAAATTTCTATCTTAACGTGATTCTTGACCTGCCATTGTGTATCTGTTCTTACCAAACCCTTCTGATCGAAGCAGATGGTCCTCTTGTCCTGATCCTGGTTCTGCTAAAAGTTTCTTCCTCATGAGGGAGTTTTTCTTTCCACTGTCGCCTTCATGCTTGTTCAAGATGAGAGTTCAGTGATGGAGTTAAACTCAGAGCTGCTCCTCAGATAAATAATGTTAATTATTATTTGATGAATGTTTCTGTTCAATTATTATTTGATGAATGAACTTTGTTTAAAAAAGGGACAATGTACAACCCAAACAGAAATGTCACCTTTTGATGCGCTGTTCCAGATTATAGCAAATGCTAATTCACATCTGCAGTCCCTTGAAAAGTAAAAAAAAAGAAACGATGGATGTACAATGCAATAATAAAATAAAACAGAAAATATAACACTATAAAATGATTACAAATCACAATACACAAACACACGAAGAGACTCGATCATTGGCACACACAGTCTTACAGTTAACGTTTGCACACCTGAGCAGTTTTTAACAGTTTTTTCAAATGAAATTAGTGTACGTCATGTTTATAGAAGAATGTTTGTTGATTGTGTTGTGGTTAACTAAATGAGCTGAAGTGACTCTGGTGACGCAGGTTAGCACCAGGTGTGAACGGAACATGAACACTCACATGGTCCTCTCCCCTGACAGGCTGCTGTGAAGAGGGCTGATCACCTGGAGGCTCTGTGGGAGCAGCAGAGGAAACAGCTGTTGAAGTGACTGACAGGAAGGCCTGGTGCCCCCCCCCCCCCCCCCCACCACCACCACCACCTGTTGTGTTTGGAGGTATTTTTCTTCCTGCAAGACTCGACCTGTGGGAGTAAAGACGGCTTAAAATGTGACCTACCTCAATTGGAAAAAGCAGAAATGTTCTGTGTTTGACTGTAAGGCCCCTCCCCCCCCCCACTTCACCTCCCCCCAGGCAGGAGGAACACTGTTGTGTTGGACTTCCCCTCTTCGTGCTGCAGACCAGGAGGCGCCACGTATAAAGGATTACAAGTGGACTTATTTTTCCTCTTTCAGAGGAGGACCACTGTAGACTGGGTCCGCTCTGCAGACCTTAGAATGTTGACGTTCCTCACAGAACAGTTCCAGATGTTTCTGAGGCGAGCCCCGGCCTGCTGGTGTGCACCTGAACGCAGCAGGGCTCCTGCCCCCCGGACATCCATCAGCATCATGGCTCCATCAGCAGCTGAAAACCAGGAACCAGTTCTTGGTGCGCTCTCTAATCTGTTGAGTCGTGTTTGTGCCAACATGCCCTGGAGGCGAGAACTAATTACACCCCCCACCACCCCCACCATGTGACCAGCTCTGAAGCTAATCAAACAACCCCAGTTCCAAAAGGGTTGGGAGATCATGTGAAATGGGAAAAAACCAGAATGTAATGGTTTGTAAACTTTGTAAACCAACATTTTATTCACAATAGAAAATTATCAACATGCAAATGTTTAAACTAACACATTTTATAATTTTCTGGGAAAATGAGGTCATTTTGAATTTCAGGCACACGTCCACAGATCATCTGTAAACACAGTTCATCCAAAGATGATGTGTAAAGCTCTATCAGACAAAGAAGGAGCCAGATGTGAAGACTGTCCAGAACCTCTGTTGGGGGGGTTTAGTGCCTTTGGCATGGACAGCTTACACATCTGGAAAGACTCCATGAATACAGACAATTATCTACAAGTTTCAGAACAACATCTGCTCCATCCAGCAGAGAAGATCCAGGACTGTTGAACAGCTGGAACGCTCCATCAGATCAGAGTGGGACAAAACCTCCAACATCTGGTCACATGTCCTCCAAACCTCCAACATCTGGTCTCCTCGGGTCCTCCTAAACGTCCAACATCTGGTCTCGTCAGGTCCTGGATGTTTTCAGACTGTTGTTAAAAGAAGAGGGGAGTCTTCTCAGAGGGACCGTGGACGTGGGACACATTGAAAGACGCTGGTTTCTGTCATCAAATTCAAACTACCTCAGTTTTTCCAAAATAAATGTTTTAATTTTCTAGTTGGTCCAGTGCTGGTCCTCGAGGGTCTCTGACCTTTGACCCTTTTCTGCTCCAACACCTGACTCCATGGTTAAATTACCTCGTCGTGTTCTGCAGAAGACGGTTGATGTGTCGGAGCAGAGCGGTCCTCCAGGTCCAGGACTGGACTCCCCTGGTTTGTATGTTTACTGTAAACTAAATGTGGGTTTTTGAAAATCATCACGTTTAGTTTTTATCTGCGTTTTAGACGACATCCCAACATTTCTGAACCGAGGCTGTAGACGCAACAACGCGGTTAGACGTGACGCCGGCTGGAGGCAGAACGGATGTAGAAGGTTGTCAGAGGGCGACGGAGGACGTGTGGAAATGTTGGAGGCAGGCGGTGAAGAATGTCTGAGGTCAGATAATTGCAGCTCTGAGGGATTCTGAGTGTGAGGAAGAGGAGCGATGAAGGAATGTAGATAGAAAGTGTGTGGAGGATTAGGAAAGCAGAGCTGGCACAGAGGGAGGCGATGGGTGGGGTGCAGCTCAGAGGGAGGCGATGGGTGGGGTGCAGCTCAGAGGGGGGCGATGGGTGGGGTGCAGCTCAGAGGGAGGCGATGGGTGGGGTGCAGCTCAGAGGGGGGCGATGGGTGGGGTGCAGCTCAGAAGGAGGCGATGGGTGGGGTGCAGCTCATGTGACCAGAAGGACCAAAAACCGCCAACGCTACAGAAAACGTCAGAAATGTGTCGGTTCTGTTTGGAGCAGGAAGTGTGTCTTCTTCAGGTCCAACAGATCTGGAAGACCTTCATCTGATAGTTAAAGACCCCCACCCCCCACCCCGATCAGAAAATATTTATTCTTTATTTATTTCTTGTTTCTGCAGCTGTGGTCGTGGGTCCACAGAAAGCTCAAAGTCAAGGGGGGGGGGGTCGTATTACAGTTTTGGTTCTGCTGCGTTGGTTACAGCTCATCAGGAGGAGATCGATGCGGTCGCTGCACTGGATTCTTGTGAACGTTGGTTTTGAAGAACCTCTTGATGTTGGCTCGCCCGACAGGAACACACACACACACAGCATCCTGTGTGTCGCCACTCTTACTGTTTCTAGACGGTGACCCCCCACACCTTCACATGATTTGAATGTACATGACTCATCTGTCATCACACGTGTTCACACTGAGACCCTGAACGCATCATTTACTGTTTTGTTGTTTGTTTTTATACAGCGATGGTTTGAAAACTGTGAAGACTGATCCGTCAGCAAAAACAATAAAAGTCTTTAAGACCAACTTTGTTCTGTCCTCTGTGAGAAAAACAAACGGTTGTTTACATGTTTTAG